CAAGTTTATTTCAAAATTCAGAGAACTTTTCCATTATGACTTTTGAAAAAACTAATTTAACAACCAAAACACAGCTTCAAACATAGCTGAAAGTCAAGTAAACTCATCTGTGATTCTAATTATATCTTTCTCATTTTACTCTCTCCATCTCATTTGCTTATGCCCTCCAACCTTTAAAATACTCTCATTAACTTGAATGATTAGCTCAATTAGCCTTGCGCTGCCCGAGAGGTGCAGATGCCGGCATGGCCGCGACAAACCAATCAGGAAGGTAAAGAGTTCATAGACATGCATGAGGTCCTGCTAATTAGGAGTGAAAATGAGCCTAATGTGGAGGGATCTGGAATGGCGAGGCTGGTGAAATGGAAAAAAGTGAGCTTGCATAAACATACACGACTTTAAGAAAGAGGAGGAATGCAAAAAGTATTCGCTCACCGAGTGCTTTCTCTGATCTCCCCCAGCCCACTTTCGGGACAGTGATTAATGCGTGAGGGCTTTACAGCAGAGCAACAGAGCCCTGCGCTCAATGGCCAATCAACAGAACCTAATGACACATTCATTATGAATGGATCCCTATTCTCATCTTTCATTCACCATTTCTTTCTTTCTTTCTTTTTTTTTCTCAAATAAAGACCTGAGTGGGATTATTATTGCAATCTATAGACCCGGTCTAGTCTGCTTTTTATTCATCCTGAAACTATTGTTGCAAAGCATTACATCACAGACCAAATCCAAACTATCAGGTTCCAGTCAAGAAGTTTAAGAGACCTGAAGATACACTTGACTTGAATTCTGAACAGCATATTTTCTGTGAATGTGTCAAAATGAATTTTAAATTATTTGCCCAATTAATTTATTTTAGATTTAGATTTGATGCTCGTTGTTGGGTTAAAAAATAAGACCAAACAAGCCAAGTAACTAAGCAGATTGAAGCCTATTAAAATAGGAATATTTGATTATAAGTTTAGTTCCATAGGAAAACCAAAGATTAAACATAAGATCTGATAGATATTGTGTCTAATTCTGGCCAACAATGATTTTGTTAACAGACAGGATGAGGCGACTGACTGACAGACTGTATTCACAATAGTGTTTGCTTTTGCTCACCAAGGTTGCATTTGTTTGATCAAAATATGATAAAACAAATCACGTGAAAAAGACTACTGGACACACACTCTCCTCTTGTTCTTCCAAAACAAAACTGACTTATAGACTTAGGCCTAATACCAATTCTACGCCTTAGCCCTTTCCCTTACCCCTCGTTTTGCGTGAAGGGTTGGGGTGTCCCAATTCTCTTTAGCTTGAAGGCGTAGGGCTAAGGGAAAGCGATGAATAGCCCTTCCAACGAAGATTTTTCAGGACCACACTCGAAACCAAGGGGTAAGAAAATTTCCCAGAATACACCAGCCAAAACAGCAGGATTGCAGCACCCGAAATTAAAGAGATGCCCAAATGTTTTTTTTTTGTCATTAAGACGACTTTTTACAACAAACAAGCACATGTTTTAATATTTTCATAACCGCGTTTGTGTTTTACAGTCATGCTTTAAAAAAAAAAAAGCTAAAATAAAAACCACAAACTTTTGCAATCTATAATCCATAATCATAAATCCTGTATAGCAATTCCACAACATTCTGACACTCGATGACACTCAAATACACTGTCAGAAAAGTCTAGTGGCTAGAAATTACCTTTTTACAGTGTCTGCTATAATGTTAATGCTGTTTTCTTGTGTGTTTACATGGATGAATATGGCCACTGTGTAAATGTACAGTAGTTATTACTGTATTCTTATTGCCACATTAGATCGTTATTATAACATACTCTATGCCTTCAGTGATTTCCTGAAGATAAATACCAAAAAAAACAACTTGAATAACTACAGCAGTCGCGATCCTCTGATCTCATTTAAAGAAAGAGCTCACAATGACATATGATGACGTGTGCAGGTGCTGTTGTGCTGTCCCAATTCTTAGGGGTACATTTTAAAGCCTTTCCCCTTCACCCTCAGTTTTAAAGGCCAGAGAAGGGTAGGGGTACAAAAATAGAAATGGGATTGGGCCTTACTTAGACTTATATTGCTATTCTCAGTTTATTTGATGTGCTTCTTTTGTCCTCACTTGTAAGTTGCTTATGATAATATTATCTTTTTTTTTTATTTCAAAACAGTGCAATTTGTTCCAGAGATGGCAAGCCTAAACTTTCAAAATTATTTCTTGTTACATGCTTCTTCAGAAATCATTGTAAGTTTATTCTATTATGCACAATTGCTGCTTAAGAAACATTACATAATAATAATAATAATAATACAATTAATAATAATAATAATAATAATATCATCATCAATGTTGTAACAATAATTAATTTAAAAAATGTTAACAAATAAAATCAAAAGGCATAAAAACCAAAACCTCACTTACTATCCTTCTGTTTAGTCCTTGATTTATCAGGGGTTGCCACAAAAAACTGAACTGAACTTAAAACACTAAAAACTACCCTGATACAGTTACTATGACCATTTATGTGAAGCTGCTTTGACACAATCTACATTGTAAAAGCGCTATACAAATAAAGCTGGAAAAAAAAAAATAAAATAAAAAAATAACTGTGGCATGTGGTTTGAATGCCTATTTAGCACTGGGAAACATCCATACACTCTCTCATTCACACACACACACTATACAGGCAATTTTTTTTCACTCAATTCACCTATTCTCATGTCTTTGGACTGTGGGGGAAACCAGAGCACCCAGAAGAAACCCATGCGAATACAGGGAGAACATGTAAAAACCTAAACCTGATGCACTGAAAGAACTATCTGATATAAATAATGACTTAATTAAGCCACATTAAAACAAAGAGAGAAATTTCTTTTTTCTTTTTTTTTTTCAACTACACCCAATTAGTTCATATTGTTTTAATGACAATAGCATAAAATATAGTTATATTATCACAGAAATATTTTTCAAAAAGAATTAGTTTTAGATTCATTAATTGTCATTACTACAATAGGGCAAATTAGATTTTATACTGATTTATCATTTTAAAGTTTACAATTATTAGCAACATTTGTTTTCCTATGGGACCAAAACAGCACTTATTTGAAATATAACACTTCTGTGGCATAATAATTCTTTACCCCTACTTTCAATTACATTTTATTTCTCTCTGAATTTAATTTAATTTATTATTTAAAAAAAATGCAGAAATAAATATAAAAACAATGCCTTTTTTATTAATTATACCAATTCAATTATACCAAAGTCCAATTCAAATTGGACAACATTTAATAAATCAACTTGAAACAACATGTTCAAATAAAAAAGTGGGACTGACTACAAAATTGTACTGCTGAAAGCTGTAAATACTGAGAACCCTGCATGCAGTCTCTAGATAGCAGAGAAGAGGTAATAAAAAAGGTTCCTATTCACATCTGGTTCTTGCCAGAGGCCTGATGATTCCACAGGGGCTTCCTGGGGCTCAAGTTATGTTACGTAGTAGGGTCAGAATATGAGTCAATGACATTCACACTGAAGAAAATGAACACTACCTTTTCTGCCAAGAAATGTTTAGCTCGCATATACACACTCACTCTTCATTCTATATAATGCAATTTAATTTAATTTGGAAAAAAAATTATGTTAACAATTTAAATAAAATAACAATATGACTACTAAGAAATTAAGTATTTTTTACAAATTATCAATAAGGCCCATACAATAATTTTGTTTATATGCACAGTGGCAGATTATTGTATCATGGCTAGGCAGAGACCTTGTGTACTTCAGTTCAGTGAGCTCCAACTGTCTAGAAAACACACACCAGCTCCAAAAGAATCTGTCTGACATCTACAAATTTGGCTATTTAATATACACACTGACCAAATGCACTGTGTAATGACACACACACACACACACACACACACACACACACACACACACACACACACACACACACACACACACACACACACACACCTAACCATTCTTTTCCTCTCCTCGGCTGCTGATTTCAGAGTAATTCAGATTGTGTCTGCAGTCTCCAGTCCACTGAAGGGAACGTCTGGAGGAACAACCAGAGGTCAGTGACCCTCTCAGTGTTGTCAAATGCAGAGAGAAAATCTGACGAAGAACAGTTTTACATCATTGCCTTGTACAAAGAAAGAAACATAAGAAGGGTAAAGCTTTCCTGTGAGACCAACAAGTCAGATCTTTGATGCCTCACTGCAAAACATTACTTGGACAGATCTTTCATGTTTTTTTTTTTTCAAAAACGGAAATCTGATAAATGTGAAATCTTGTGTTATAACGCCCAACACCAAGAGACCATCCAAAGGTTGGCTGAACTCATAAACTGCTCAAATTACAACTAAAATGAATCGTACACTACATTACGAAAAACACTTCCCAATAGCTTATGCTAAAATATAGAAGTCTGGCTTTAATTTTGACTTAAATTATGTCTATATTACTAACATTTAGAGACAGAAAATAACCACCATTTTACAAGATCTACTAAGACTGTTCTGTCATTGGTTGAACACACAGATAGCAACAAATCCATGCAATTGGTTACCCTTATCAAATGTAAAGGTCAGGATGGCCAACAAATCAAAGCACTATTTTAATAGGGCCAGAGCCACAATGTTTATGCACCGTGGACAAATGACACATATTTGACTAAACCTAGTATCCAAGTACCTAAATGTTGGCTGACAAGCTACTTAAGTGGGTTAAAAAAGAAAAATTAAAAACATTTGGGAGTCACAATTACACCAAAAAAAAATAAAAAATGCTACCCAATCACTGTGTTGGGACAACATGTTAAGTTAACTTATTAGTTTTTACAAATTTAAATGTATTGAACATAAAACAATTAAGTTATCGTCCCATAAAACTCAAGAATTGTGTTGTTTCAGCTCATTTTAAATAAGCAGTTTGAACAAACACCAAACAATTTTTGAGTGCATTTACAAGCATACCACAACTCTAGAAGACAAATTAAACTTCATACATTCCGACTTTATTCCTCTTTTTCACAGTGCGTATTTAAAAAAAAAAGTCACAAAATTAAGGCACATCGTCATATAATGCTACTTCATATTCACATAAAAGATAAATGTTGTTGGATGACAATGGGCTGACGTAAAGGACGTAATACATAAAGCTGACCTCAGAGGGCGCCGTAAACTAACTTAACATTAGGTTTTAGAGTTTTACTTGGGTAGCAGTGACATCTAGAGGCCACCCAGATGACTAGAATACATGTCAATTCATTCCTGAATGTCAATACACGAAATATTGGTCAATGCAAACCGAGGATCGGTTTAAAGGTATTTTAAAGCGAAAAACAGTTCACCACCTAACAAAACTATAAAATTTACTCACCCCAGTGTCATTCCAGTATTGTATGTCGCTGTATTTATCCAGTAAAAAACTTCATTCAGGCCTTTTTCTTTGTTAATAATGACCACGTCAAGCTCCAAAACCGGCAAAACTTACACTTTTCTACAAATATGCTTTAAAAAAATTAAATAAAAAAAATAGCCAAACAAACGGAAATGTAGCTTTTTTCCAGCGAAAATCACCTACTTGGCAAACAGAAACTGCCACACGTGCAACTGATTATATTTTGTCACGTGACATAGGAGAAACAGTGATGACTGATGATGTCATTGAAGTCCGACCAAAAAGTAACATCAAATTTGCCACATTTGATCAAATTGTCAAAAATAATTGATGAAATTGGCAAAAATTGGCAAAAAAATTGCCATATTTGATCTTCAGCAAGATACAACTTTTTGGTTGACCACATTCTTTGTTTGAAAAACGGGATATGTGTGTAAACCTTTAATATATGCAGCATATTATGCATAGTGGCTACATGGTTTTTATAGAGCTAAACAAACACACAGCACACTAACAGCACACAGGTCTGGAATAAAGTGAAGGTGAGTAAATATTGACAGAATATCAATTGATTTTAAACTCTGATCGGATTTACATTGTTGGCTCTACATTTTGTAGAATGTCAGATGTATCCTTCATCCTGAAATATGAAAAGACAAAAAAAAAAAAACATGGTATGAATTGATGTACATATATGAAGTCCTTATTCTGAAAGGCTGTTTTTTTCACATACAAAGCACCTGTAATACTTACATATAAACTATTCTGTCCAGCCTTTCTTTAAAACTCTAAAAGTTGAAGGGAAAAACGTTCTATTATTACAGAGTATATACAGGAATCAGAGAATGAAATTCAATACCTTTTAAGACCTTTTTATGGGCTCTTTCCATACATTTTAAGACCTTATAACCAATTTAGGTTTCAACCGGAAACACTGGTGAGATTTTAGCTTACAGTATATTAACTAAATATAATTGTAAGAAGCAAATCAAAAACTAAATTATTATTCATTTACTGAAGAAAAATCTATTCAATCTAGCAAATTGAGCAGGTTGGCACCTTTAGAATTGCAGAAATAATGGTGTTGCTTTGGCTACTGCAGTAAACAAAGCAGCATGATGTCAAATCTAGTAGGATTTTATTGATTTCATAAAGTACACAGCATCCTGATATTCGCAGATTTAATTCTGGCTAACTTAAGTATACAACCATACGTTAAATAATCAAAAATATATATATAACTTAATAACTTGCAAAATAGCATTTAAGATTTTTAAAGACTTTTTAAGGGCCTTAAATTTCTCTACATTGATTTATTAACTTTTAATACTTTTTAAGACCCCACAGACAACCTGTATTAAACTGACTACTCATGAAACTTTAGTGGATAAACAAATGGATAGATGGATGTTAACCTGTGAAGCTGTTGGTAAAGGACTGGCTATGTTCCCATTGTCATTGTCATCAAGTGATGTTTGAATCACAGCGGAAGAGCCATTTGCAGATACTTTAACAGATACAAATAAAAACTCTAAAAACTTTTAGATTTATAAATGCAAAGATTGTATAAACAATTACAATTATAAAGGTAAAACATTTCCAAGTACCTGTATCCTCTTTGAATTCATTGTTTTGTGTGCTGAGGATTCCATCTCCTGATGTTAGACCCTATAGAAGTATAGAAAATTTAGCTTTTGTTTGTTTTAGATTCAATAAGGACTATATTATTTCACAAGATGTCAAATTGCCATTTTGTAAAAAAAAAAAAAAAAAAAAAAAAAACTAAAATAACACACTCATGAACTGTTAGGCCATTAAATTACCGAAAAATTCTGTTTCCTGAACCCATCAGTTGCTGTATACTGGCCTCTGACCTCTAAAGTGGTTTGCAGTCTTCCTAAAACACTGCATTTTCCACATGAATTCCCCAGTTTTCGAAACTGACACATGTGAGAGTTATTGCTAGTGTGCTGGAGACTGTCGCTGTTTTTCATCATGTAATGCAAGTTTCATCAAAGCGAGTTTTAGGAGAAAGCAGTATTACGCCACATAAAATGTACAATTTGGAACATTCAAAGAGACGTTAAACTCCCATACCTGTGCTGAGGTCAACGCCAGCCTGGTTTCCAGCAGCAGCACGCGACTCTCCAAGTTCTCCCACTGGTTGCTCTCGATGATGATCTTGCCAGCCAAGCTTTTTTCCAGAGCATGTATCTTGAGCTCCATGAGAGCCAGTCGTTGCTCTAGTCTGCCAACAGTCTCAAGAAGACCTTCTTCCAGAACTCTCAGTCGGCTTTCCAACACACACTCCTGAAGAGAATGTGCATGCATTAAAGTGGTTCAGAACTTTGCAGTAGATTTGTGATATAGCCATTTGTATTGGCAAGTGACAGTCCAGTTGAATTACGACATAATACACAAAATTCATTTATTCATTCATTACTCATGAATGAGTAATTCAAATGTTAGGCTTAAAAAGTGTTTTTCTTCGACAACTTTGCACAAAAATAGAAAAGTGAAAGTATTTTTCTCCATTTAATAAGAAATACTGAAAAAAAATAAGCACACCCCACCTCTTCTCAACATTGATAATCAAAAGAAATGTTTTTTCACATCAAATCATTAAGAATTATGATTTGTATAATGTGGTGTTAAAGAATGAAGAAATAATAGCTGCTGGAAATTCACCTTTCCCAACACAGGAGTGAATTAAACTTTAAAATATATTAAATAAGAAAACATTTATATTTTAAAAATTGCTATGATATTTTCAAGTGATGTAGTTTTTTATATATATTTTAACTAAATTCAGCATTGCTGAGAAATCAAACATTTTAAAAAAAAAAAATCTTTACCTTACTGCAAATTAAATGTATATTCTGTTTTAATCACAAAAGTTACACGATCAAAAACAGTTAAAAAAATGTAACATTATTAACACATTTTTGTCTTTTTAATTAATGAATTATATGCAATTAATTCCTTAATTATTATTAAAAAAAAGCTCTAAGTAACCAAGTTTCCAAGCACTTTACACTCCTGCGTAAAAAAGTATAAATCCGACTAAATCTAATGTCTGGTGAACTTATTCATGCACATCCCAGTGTGTACATATGTTGCTGAATATATATTCCACTCACAGTGGATTCAGCAGGTTGTGATGAGTCCTCTAACCGTTCACTGTCTAACTCCTTTTCTGATTCCTCTTCCTGCTGTGGATGTTCAGCTGAGGAGTGTCTGATTTGAGCTGCTGCCGAGCTGCCGCCAAGATGCCTTTCTACCAGTGGCTGCTTCAGAGGCATCTAAAGCAGACATTGACAATTATTATTATTATTATTATTATTATTATTATTATTATTATTAGTAGTAGTAGTAGTAGTAGTAGTAGTAGTAGTAGTAGTAGTAGTAGAAAAAACATGAAAACTTACCATCAGGGCTGTTAATTCCTGTGAGTTACTGTCATCAGAGGGAATTTCATTTTTAACACAGCTCTTCAATACAGGCCTTTTCTTTGGCTTACTCAGATGCTGTAAGACAATATTCAATTACAATATGAAAAACATAAAAATATAAATAACAAAATCCTGGCCAACGTTTAATTTGCTAACAATTATTTTCAAAAATATAAAAATAAGATAAGTAAAAACAATATACAGTTGAAGTCAAAATTAATATTATTGATTTTTTTTCTTTTTTAAATATTTCCTAAATTTTGTTTAACAGAGCAAGAGAATATTCACATTATGTCTGATAATATTTTTTTCATCTGGAGAAAGTCGTGTTTTATTTCAGCAAGAATGAAAGCAGTTTTAATAAAAAAAAAAAATAAAAAAAATTAAGGTCAAAATTATTAGCCCCTTTAGGCTATATATCTTTTTAGATTTGCTACAAAACAAACCATTATACAACAATTATACAGTTATTAGATATTAGTTATTAGAAAGGAGTTATTAAAACTATTATGTTTAGAAATGTGTTGAAAAAAAATCTTCTCTTTGTCAAACAGAAATTGGGGAAAAAACAGGGGGGCTAATAATTCTGACCTTAACTGTATGTGTAAATTAAATTACTAGTTTATATAAATATATTTAATATGCTAACAATTGTTTGCATATCACAATATTATTGAACCAATTAATGTGTTATATTGAATTACTATAATAGTTTGCATAAATATATTGAACATATTATAAATAAACTAATTAATTGTAAATGATTTATAAAAACATTACTATACAAAGTGCGAAAATAATTTATCATTTTGAGATCAGCTAAAGTCTACATACTGTATAATATTTATTAACGCTGTGAGAATATATGTATGTGTGTGTATATACTATAAACTTAAAAAAAAAAAAAATAAAAAAAAAAACATAAATAAATGTTTCTAGTACCTGTGAATAACTGAAATACAACCATATCTCTATACGAGAAAAAAAAACTGTATGAGGGTAAATCAGCGATACCTTGCTATTTTTAGTGAGTTCTTTGTGTTTGCTGAGAACAAGGCCAATGACATCACAGAGAATGCTCACTTTCCTCTCTGCAAACCCAAACTGAAGGAACTGCTGTTTGGTCAACAGTGGTTTATAGCTGAAAACATCCCGCAAGACCTACATTTGAAGGGATTTTCTCATCAAAACACAGATACAACAAAACACAGTGATTTAAAATAAATATTACAACTTGAGAGGTTTAACGCATTAAAGGAACTGGAAGGAAATGATCCTCTAAGTGGATTAAAATCCCAAACAAAAAAAAAAAAAAAAAAAAAGAAGAAGAAGAAAAAAAAAAAAAGATTTGTAGACTTTTTGGAATTCCAGAGGAGCCACTAAGACTAATCACAGGAATACGCAAATGTAAACAGTGAGATGTACTGTAGCACGAAGGAAAAAACGACGACTGGAAAAAAAATGATTGAATTGCTAAACACTACTTTCCTGTTACAGCGTCTCTAATTTTTAGCAAATGCCACCAAGGCCCTGAAGGTAATCTAAAGGGACCACTAATTCCCCCCTGAATATTTTACGTGAGCCTCAGATGATACTGGGATGAAGGCCAGAACTTTAAGAGCTGCACAAAAGGTCAGCGAACAGGAGGAAGTGCTGAAAGACAGAGCAGCGCTTCAGTCAGTCCCATGGCTGAACGTACAGAATCAGTTTTGAGTTAATCTGAGATCAGACGACTTGGACCAGCATGAAAACAAGCCTTCTTCTTTTATTCACTCACTGCAGGAGAGCGATGCGAGTGGAGAATAGTAATTACTCAGGATTTGCTGGTGAAGAGCTGCCAGTTGAACATCTGAATGCTTTGCTTCAGAGCTACAGATGCTCCAAATCACAGACCTTCACAGAGAGGACCTGCGGTTCTGATTTTAGGGGTAAAGGGGTAGTTCACCCCAAAATAACATTTACTCACCATCTATTTTACAATAAAAGTAATTTTTTTTAATTATGTTGGAAACGGGTAAATATTGACATCCATAGTAGAAAAAAAATGCAATAGAAGTCAATGGCTGCATGTTTCTAACATACTTTGAAATATCTTCTTTATGTTCAACAAAAGAAAGAAACTGAAACAATTTTGGAATAAGTGAAAACCGAGTCATTAAACCCTGCCAGATTCGAGACAATGCCAATAAATAAGGCTTATATTAATCAACCTCTTCAAAGAGGGAGTGAAAAACAGTATTAATGGCTTGTTCGGAGTTAAAAAGCCTTTAGAGTTTGACCCTAAAAATGAACTGTGTCCTCATAACTGGGAAAAGGCAACTGTAAGCACTTTGATCCATTTAAAATAACCAACTCATTAAAACCACTAGCTCTTAAAAGAAACTGCAAACAGTTTAAAAAAGTCAAAATTAAAGTGGGCTGTGATGTCAAGCATGTTAATAAAGATCTGTTGTTGATTTTAAATAAAAATATACTATCCAGAAACTAGCCTAAATGCTAAAACATGAATGGAATGAATGTATTTTAAAGGAATGATTCACAAATTACACTTGGGTCATTATTAATTCATAAAGGTTATATGTTGTTTATAAAAACTTTTTTTTACTATACAGTAGATGCCAATGGTCACCAAAAGGTTGGATTAAATTTAAAAAAGTTAATTGTATGACTATACTTTGCTGTAATATTTCCAGGGTGTTTTTTTTTTTTTTGTTTGTTTGTTTGTTTTTTGGTTGATTCACACTTTTAAATTGTTTTATGAGACCTTGATCTCTGCTCTGAAATGTGATGTTTAAAATGTAAATCTACTGTTCAACAAAATAAATGTTTTTGACACTTTTAGAATAAAATAATAAATTTAGAATAAAATGATAAATTGTCTGGGTTGATTTTGGTCACATTAAATCCAATGTGAAAACCTGGTAATGAGCTGCCAGTTTTTTTGTTTTTGTTTTTTTCTGTTATGAACTTATTTCTCAGACTGCACCAACATTCCTCAAAATGCCTTCTTTCACATTCTCCAGGGAAAAAAAAATAGAAATGTATACAGTAGGGTTACATGATTCATGATAAATTAAGAACCCTGATTCTTTTTATAGAAATAGTTAAAATATAATAGTTTAAAAGTTACCCGAATAGGCAGCTAAACTAAAAATGCTTTAGTGGACTTAAATTTTATCATTAATGAAATCAATAAATATTTTAATGGTATGGTTTGGCATATAATAAATGAATCAGCATTTTGAATGAATCTCTTGAAGTACTGCTTCATTGCATGTTAAACATAAACATACAGTGGAAGTCATAATTATTAGGCCCCCTTTGAATTTTTTTTTTCTCTTTTAAATATTCATTAAATGATGTTAAACAGAGCAAGGAAATTTTCAAAGTATGTCTGATAATATTTTTTCTTCTGGAGAAAGTCTTATTTGTTTTATTTCAGCTAAAATAAAAGCAGTTTTTAATAAAAATAAAAATTAAAAAAAACATTTTAAGATTAAAATTATTACCCCCTTTATAAGCTACGTTTTTTTTCTGATAGACTACAGAACAAACCATCATTATAAAATAACTTGCCTAATTACCCTAACCTGCCTAGTTAACCTAATTACCTAGTTAAGCCTTTAAATGTCACTTGCTGTACAGAAGCTGTATAGAAGTGTCTTGAAAAACATCTAGTAAAATATTATTTACTGTCAGCATGGCAAAGATAAAATAAATCACTTATTAGAAATTAGTCCTTAAAACTATGTTTAGAAATGTGTTGAAAATATCTTCTCACCGTTAAACAGAAATTGGGAGAAAAATAAATAGGGGCGCTAATAATTCAGGGGTACTGATAATTCTGACTTCAACTGTATATATTGAAGACAGCTAGAACCTTGCAACCATTGATTCCCACAGTATTTTTCCTACTATGGAAGTAAAAAGTTACATGTTTTCCGCATTCTTCAAAATATCTTCTTTAGTGTTCAACAATAGAAAGTTTTGGAACCACTTAAGTAAATTGTGATTTTTAGTCAATTAGAAATGTAGTAAATTTCCAAAAACTATCCCTTTAAAAAGCTTTACAAACTACGTGCAGAGATAAATAAATAAATAAAACAATAAATAAATACTAAGCTACATCAAAATATATAATATTTAATAAGCTATATAAAAATATGATGAATGATAATCACCTTGTACACATTCTCAATAAATCGCAAATCATTCATTCCGGTTAGTTCCACGCCAAAATCGACCAGGTACTCTGTGAGTGAGGGGGAAAAGGACGTGAAGGCAAAGCTTACAATAGGAAGACACGCTGATGGATCTCCAACAGCCAATCTGGAAGAGGAAACCACAATATTAAATTATAAAGGACTTGTAATGACAAACAATTCATAAAACGTCATCATAAAATCAACATCAAATCGAGGTTTTAAATCAAATATAATGTTTAAAAGAGTGGCAGCACTTGAAAAATAAAAGCTGTCTGCAAGCCATTTTGAGTGTCGTGCTGGAGGCAAATTAAGTCATCTTTCCAGCATACACAAGCCAAAATAGATCTGTCTTTCTGAGGAGCATTCTGTGTTTGATGCATCTCACATCAAAACCTCTGAGCTGAGCATCTGATGTGCAGCTTGGGGTCTTGGTGGAGGAACGGAGCTGGTTTTTGTAAAGCCTGTTTACAAAATAGCGGAGCGCTGGGGAGGCTCCGGACAAGTCTTCAACTTTCCAAACTTCAAAACAAAATACGGGACATGAAACACTGACAGAGTCTTATTTTGGGATGTTTATTTGAGTCAAGATGTTTCAAAGTCAAGGCCAAAAAAATAAAAAATGAATGGTGGAATTAGGGAACGTCAATGTCTAATGGATTACATCTTGCATATATTATATCATCTCTGCTGACCGCATATGAAATAATCATTCAGATGATGGATTTGTAAAGCCCTGGGAAGTGGAGATTTGTATCTACAAATCTAGGATTTGTCTCTGTGGCCACATTTAACAAGATTATGTTCTTTTATATTGACATTTGAGGTTACAGAAAAAATAGAACTGATTAAAAACATTGACTGATGAAACGTATACCTTTAATTTAATGTGGATAAAAGCATCTGCTAGATAGTCAACATACAGAAAAAGGACACTAATTGTTCCATGTATGTATAGTTAATGGATATTATTCAAAGCAAATATACATTTTTATGTGCTAACATGCATGTAAAACAAGTATAAACATTAATAAATTGCTCACTCAGCCATAGTGTACTTTGCAAATTTCCACTTCCAGTCTTTTGGCATGGGTGTGATCAGGGTCATGATTATGAAAATGATTTAGGAAAATCTTTTGCTCAGAATGTATGCTTTATTGTTCCATGTTAAATTATTTGGAAACTACATTTTACTATTATTTAATACAGTAATAATTCTTAGAATGGTTCAGTAGAAGCATTTGTGAATGTTTAGATAAATGAGAAAATGTTTTTATAATAATACACAACAGCAACAGCAATAATAATAACAACAGCAACAACTCATCCAACTTCATTTTCCCCCATACATTACAACATGTCCTGTTTAATTACTTTTTTATTCAGAGAACTCATAAATGAGCGAGGCAGTGGTGCAGTAGGTAGTGCTGTCGCCTCACAGCAAGAAGGTCTCTGGGTCGCTGGTTCAAACCTCGGCTCAGATGGCGTTTCTGTGTGGAGTTTGCATGTTCTTCCTGCCTTCGCGTGGGTTATCTCCGGGTGCTTCGGTTTCCCCCACAGTCCAAAGACATGCGGTACAGGTGAATTGGGTAGGCTAAATTGTCCGTAGTGTATGAGTGTGTTTGTGAATGTGTGTGTGGATGTTTCCCAGAGATGGGCTGCGGCTGGAAGGGCATCCGCTGCATGAAAACTTGCTGGATAAGTTGGCGGTTCATTCCACTGTGGCGACCCCAGATTAATAAAGGGACTAAGCCGACAAGAAAATGAATGAATGAATGAATGAATGAGAACTCATAAATATTGTGCACTTATACCAGTATTTAAATATGATATCCACTAAATTGTCTAATTAAACTCTAGTTTATACACCATAAAATAGTGCAAAGTACACTTAGAACAAGAATCATTTGATGACATATTAAAACCCAATATTTAAGGATCACAGAACAGCCACAAAATGCCTTATAAAATGATATTTATATATCAGCAAAAAATAAAAAATAAATTAAAAAATCAACCATTTAAAAGACAGTTCATTTTATATGATAACATATTTGTTTACATACAGTTAAAGTCAGAACAATTAGCCCCCTTCAAATTTTTTTCTTCTTTTTTAATTATTTTCCAAATGATGTTTAACAGAGCAAGGAAATTTTCACAGTATGTCTGATAATATTTTTTCTTCTGGAGAAAGTCTTATTTGTTTTATGTCGACTAGAATAAAAGCAGTTTTAAATTTTTTAAACACCATTTTAGGGACAAAATTATTAGCCCCTTTAGGCTATATTGTTTCTAGATAATTTACAGAACAAACCATTGCTATAAAATAACTTGCCTAATTACCCTAACCTGCCTAGTTAACCTAAATAACCAAGTTAAGCCTTTAAATGTCACTTTAAGCTGTATAGAAGTGTCTTGAAAAATATCCAGTAAAATATTATTTACTGTCATCATGGCAAAGATAAAATAAATCAGTTATTAGAGATGAGTTATTAAAACTATTATGTTTAGAAATGTGTTGAAAAAAATCTGCTCTCCGTTAAACATAAATTGGGGAAAAAATAAACAAGCGGTCTAAAAATTCAGGGGGGCTGATAATTCTGACTTCAACTGTATTTTAATATGTACAGGTCAGAATAAGTTTTTATTTTATTTTATATTATACAATTAAAATATAATTAATAAACTAATATCGAATAAACACTAGGGCTGCACAATATATCATTTCAGCATCGATATCGCAATGTGATCATTCACAATAGTCACATCAATCCACAGTGTCAAGTTCAGCTTCAGTTTATTCATCCCTCAGGAAATTTGATTGGAATAATAGCTTACCAGGAACCATCCTGTTGAGTGATTGTAAAGTTTAACCTTAAACGAGTGCTTTTTTGATTTGTTTTTAAAGATTTTAATTAATTTGTGTACAAAAAATTAAAACAATAAAAATGTATTGCATTTAACTTTTATACAATGAAGAATTTACTGTTTTATTTGCTTTCATTTGAATATTCAACGTATTTTTGAATACAGTTAGACCCACCAAAAATGTATGCAGATTATCTGGCCTTCAAAAGTCTTCCAATCAATATAAATGTATGAGTTCTTTCCAAATTGAGCTATTCAAGTCATCTGGTGAAATAATTATAATCATATCGCATAATCGCAATAAATATCACAGAAAAACAAAATATTGTAATCTCAGATTTTTTAAATATTGTGCAGCCTTAATTAATACCAACTATCAATATTAATGAATCAATATACTATTAATAAAAAAATATTAAGAAAATAAATATAAGTTATGTTGAATGACAATGGAGCATTATATAATAAACATTAAAGTAGACACTTACATTTAATATGCTTTAGTGTGTATTTAAAATCATATCAATTTAGTTGATGTGTTTCCAAAATCTCATTTTTACTCATGTCTTTTGGTCTGTGTATTATAATATAACTGAATTACTTACAGTCTCAGCCACTATCAACATTTATTTTCTGTACAAATTTAATTAAATGGTTACTACAACTGACACTCTGCATAACATTTTCATTTGAGTTTTTCTGAACAAATAAACTGAAGACAGAAGTTTTTTTTTCTTAGTATGCAAGAAAGAACACTTACAAAGATACCATAAGAACAAATAGATAAAAAAAAGTTACATAAATAAAGTTTACATGATTTACACCAAGAAAGGGTTTTACATGCAAATTAATTATTAGAGTTCTATAAAGAATTTCTGAAAATAATAAGGGTGTTTCTTCAAAAAATTACTTCATTTATGGATGTAACATTTAGCCTGAAAAAGCAAGAAATTAATAATAAATTTACAATGAGAAGGATTTAAGTTCAGAGAGTTACCAAAGAGTAGTTTTTGTGGAAATACAAAACACTTTACCGCAAGTACATTCCCAAAATAAATGATTTAGTGTTTCGAAGACAGACAGTTAATCTAGATTCAACAACAAAAACCTGAGTAAATAACGAGTTATTTTTGAACTACACTATTCTTTTAACATTGATACTCCATACCTTTGATAATCCACATCTCTGGGATACTTCAGAGACCGAAGAGACGCTTCCAGTTTTCTGAGACATCCCTTCAGGTCACCAGTGGCCATCTCTGTCATTTCATCAAGAGTTACATTGTTATTAACAAGTTTAGATGCATACAGCGATGTCAATTCATCATTCATAAGCAACGTGTGTGTTACCCTTTGTCTACAAAGGTAAATCATTAAAAACGGTTGTTATATTAACGTTTGGAAAACCAAAACTCTTACCGAAGGCTAAATATTAGTAACGGAGTTATTGCTAATCCCTTCCTTTTGTTTTTGCCGCTAAAGGATTCAAGATTGTTGTTATTGGTTTCTATGCAGTGGATACAAAAATCACCCACAGTTTCGCTTCTGCACATTCATGTCTGGTTGTTAGGTTGTTAGGTTCTGTCCAAAATACAAAAAGATACATAATTTGTTAGTGCTAGTCTCATGAACTGGTTGACGAACTTAATTAAGCGAAGTATTCTATTTATTTATTTATTTATTTATTTATTTATTTATTTATTTATTTATTTATTTATTTATTTATTTATTTATTTATCAATCACACATTTGTTTATTATTTAATATATATATATATATATATATATATATATATATATATATATATATATATATATATATATAGAAATAAATAAATAAACAAAATACATTTAATATTATTATTATTAATAATAATAATAATAATAATAAAATTTACCAAAAAAATAACATTTAAACAACCAAATAAATACATGTTAAATGACTTACATTATTAAATTATTTTAATATTACTTTGTACATTTATTACACCTACAAGTCAGGTGAACTGGATAAGCTAAATTGTCCTTAGTGTATGTGTGTGAATGACAGTGTATGGTGTTTCCCAGTGATGGGTTGCAGCTGGAAGGGCATCCGCTGTGTAAAACAAATGCTGGATAAGGTGGCGATTTTTAAGTGGCGACCCCTGATTAAAAAAGGAACTGAGCCAAAAAAATTAACATATGAATGAATGAATATTTATTACAAAGACTAAGGACTATGTTTCACATCAAATAACCACACGAACTTGACCAAGACGACAAAAAGAAAAAAAGTTTTTAACGAAAGTGCAACTGAGTGTACTCGTGCTCAATTTACTTTACGCGATTTGCGTCACTTCCACCAATAACAAGAAACGTCAGTCTGGCCAGAGTGTTCGAGGAGGCGGAGAGAGAGGCAGGAGGAGCGACTGTACTGATGAATGATAGAGTCACAGGACTGTCTCACCCTCGACCTGCAGCGTTGGAGCTGTCACGATGGCTGTACTGGGCTCCGGTTAAAGGACTGAGATAATTTCACCCGCGAGACTGTGGCAGACCAGCGAGTCATTTCGTCGCGGCGGCGGTAGAAGTATTTCATACACACAGAGGTGGGTGGCGCTGCTTTGAGCGATTGACGCTGCGAAAATAAAAACAGAAGATTTCGATGCGTCACTTTGCGCGACAGCCAATCGGAGGGCGAGTTAATGTGTCAAATCGGCATTCTAGCCAATAGTGTTAGGGCGAGGCGGGATTTGTGCTTCAGCCAAACATGATGGAGGACTTATTTCTTAAAAATGTACCTCGATTTGTGTGTCAGTCGTCGAACTTAAAAGTTTGATAAAGTACATCTCTAAAAAATACACATTTATTTAGTGTAAAACAAAGCGGAGCTCGTGCTAACTTGTTTTGTAGTTATGTAATATGTAAGACGAGTTCTTCTTTGTTAGGACAGAAATCATAAAGGCTACTGCAATGCAAACTGGGTCAGAGTTATAATACGTTTTGCGTTATCAGGCTAATATAATTGTCAGATACTGTAAACAGTTGTCAGCAGTGACAGTCTTGTAATGCCGTTCTTTCCAGCTTGTCCCAATTTACTGTAAACAGTTTGACAAGAGTTACATGATAGTGACATATTTAGAGTTACTTTCTCTTTTAATAGAAATACTAATTAGATGATGGAATCATTAGTATCTAATAATAATAATAATAATAATATAGATGTTTGTAATGTAACTATGATAATCTTAAGGCATATGCATATTTAATAATATTAGTATATCATAATAATGAACAATGATGGTATTGTGTTCATGGCACTTCAAAATAAAGCCAATACTTGTTTATTATTTCACCTTTTAGAAGTCCTTTTAAGAATATTCTGGTTGTTGTATTAACAAGAGTGGCATGATAATAACATAAATAGAGTTGCCAGTTCTGTTTACGTTCTTTTTTAATAGAAACACTAATTAGATGAAGAAATTCCTGATATTTAATAATAATAATATGAATAACATAGATGTTCATAGTATAACTATAGTACTAGTAAGGCATGTGCATATTTAATAAAATTAGTATATCATAATAATGAACATTAATGATACTGTTATTGTGGCACTTCAAAATAAAGTCAATACTTGTTTATTTTTTCACCTTTCAGAAGTCCTTTTCATAACATTCAGATTATGGTATTAGAAATGGTGTTTATAACAGCATCAAATGCTTAAAGTCTTCATGGACTACTTTTTTTTTTTCAAGATGCTAATCTGGCGTATGACATGCCCAAAATATTGATTGAAATGTTCTGATTCTTTATTTGTTTACGCTTTACAGTACATCCCAATTAACATTAATTATAAAAGCTAAACTGAGAGTGAAAACATTAATCATAGGTGCTGTTAATGTTTTCTTGATTAACTCATTAAAATCAAACAAGTTTTAATTAAAATAATAACTAATAATTCAGTTTGTTTCATACTTTTACATACATACATGATTGGTTAGCAAACTTTGCTCGTCCTCATCGCACAACTTTGCACTAATTCTTCTTAAGTTGTACATACCCTCTGGACATATACATTTGTAATTATGTTCATATCTGCCCGCATACCTCTGATTATTATCAACCTGTACATATTTTCATCTATTGTAAATCTCTGTTAATAGTTAATATAACCTGTATATAATGTTTATAGTGCATCCATCTGTAAATATCACCATAGTTTTTTTATTTTTATTTTATTATTATTATTTTTTTATAATTGCACTTTATAGCTTATACCTATATATAGCAGCTGCTATTGCACTCCTGGTTAGACTTAAACTGCATTTCATGCCTTGTACTTGTACATGTATAATGACAATAAAGTTAAATCTAATCTAATCTAGCTGTTTCCCACTGTTGAAGATCTCCTAAAATCACTTACGAGAGTTTATTGTAAAGAGTACATGTAAACTTTTGCAACATTTGAAGTTTTTGAGTTTATGTTAAACATTTATATACATTAAAGAATAAACAAAAAGTAGTTGTTTTTTTTTTGTTATTACATCTGTTAAAAAAAAAAAAAAAACTTTTTTATTTGTTCTTGATGAGAGTATTTCTTAAACAATGTTAGTATCCTGATAACGCCATACACCATGCTGAAAGATTCAGCACTTATCAAAACCGGAAAATATGATACCATCATAGGCCTAATAAACGTAAGTAGTTTTTAATGATTCATGAAATGCTTCTGCCCTTAGGCAAAGCTGAGGGAAATTGCTTGTCAGAGTTCATTGACCTCAGATTTCCAGTCCGTATTTAAAGCAAAGCAGGTCTAAAAATTCCCAAGCTCCTCCTACAGAATGCCAAGAAGCAGGTGCCGTGACATTGTGCAACTCTATGTCAGATTCATATGAGAAAAGCTGTCATGTTAGAAACTCAGAGAGAGCATCCAAAAGGCCATTAAAGACTAGAATAACAAGACGTCTAATACAGTAGACCGAGATGTGGAGGCCCTTGGAGGGAGTCACATAAAAAGGCTTAATGCATATCTCCGAGAGAGGATTAGTGCTACTGTGGTGGAGATAAAGCTGCCATCGGGGGTTTTATTTCCCAGCTGACTACTGCAAACCAACACTAAAAACAGTTTCCCTAGGGTTGTTGGAAGAGGTAAGGATTCGGGGACCCTAAAAGAAATGATCTAAATCAAAACTGAAGTGCTGAGAGCTTGAGACCTCTGGATTATTCTGCTTTAGTTTATAGGAACATAAGGCAGAGAGATAAAAGGCTTTATATACAATCCCTTCTTTAATAATAAATACAATAAGAGATTATATGATATACAAAAGCTCTTAGCCAAATGGAAAATAAAAGCAGGATGGGCTGCGTGTGTCAGATGTCTCTGAGATTACATCAGCTTCTTCTGCTTAATGTATATGAAATCAAAACCAGAAACTGAGCTGAGACTATAGGTCTTGGTGATCGAAATGTGATGCACGTGCTACATATTTCAGTTTGGTTAATGACAGAGTTGTTTTAATAGAGTTTTATAGATCGGAAGGATGCAGGAATTCAACGTTTTATTTATGCTACAAAAATAAAATCAAAAGTTTGGAATTATTTTGAGCTTTAAATGTTGTTTGAAAAAAAAATTAATATGAATATGAATATGTATGTATGTATGTGTGTGTGTGTGTATGTGTATATATGTGCATATATATATATATATATATATATGTGCATATATATATATATATATATATATATATATATATATATATATATATATATATATATATATATATAAATGACAATTGTAAGAAATACTTACCAAAAAATAAAAAATAAAATTCAAGTTATACCGAACTGTTCGTTACAAAAAGTATATTTTTTCAACAAAATTAGGCTTTATGAAGTGGTCACAAATTGTTTTATTGTTTCCTGTTGCTCTTTTGTGCTTTTCCATCTATTTTATTTTTTATTTTTTTGTCTCATCAGGTATTCAAAATGTAACTTTATGAGTTGTTCTTTTTAAGAGAACTGGTTGTAGCTACTGAATCAATTGACAGGAACAGCAATGAACTAATTCAGATGTACGTTTGAACTGAAACACCAAAAAAACATGCAATAGGCCACCATAAAAGGTCTGAATTCTACCTAGTTTTGCAACCTTAAAGGGCTCCACAGACTATTCAAATAAAATGGTTTATTGTTGCACAAATGTGTTAGCATATTAGTGACTTTTCCACATGCAACATTATCTATTGTAAATAGACCATTAATGACGATACTACCATTTACAAACTACAGTGGCCAGTATTTTAGGGCCATATTATCACGATAATACCATAGTACTGGTAAACCGTGCATCCCGACTAGATTAACCTAGAGACTACAAGATTCATGTTACTAATACTGAATATCTTTGTGCCAAATTTCATATAACATTCCTAAAAGTAATTCTGGGGCAGCGAGAGTCAAAAAGAAGAAGTTGAAGAAGAAGGATTCAAGAAGAGGTGCTGGGGTGCTCCACAATTTTGAGCTGTGGTGCTTTAACAAAAATGCAAATTACTGCTTTTTATATATGAGTCAGACACTATTCATATTAGTTTTTATCTAAAGCTGCAGTCTCACTAAAGTTTGAGCATGCGTAATTCTGTCAAATGGGGCTGCGAAAAAGAAACAGGATAAAGATGAAGCACTGACACTAATAAAATTAGCGATTGTTCCATATTTTTTTATTTTCTATTGGTCTCATGCTTTCACATCCTTTGAAACACAGTGACATTCGAAACTTCAATTCGAGCTTGCGCTTCCGGTCTGTCGCATTCACACATTTGAATGGAAGTCAATGGAGCAAAAAGTGGAGTGACCTGTTGGTTGTGTAATATTTTAATTTATCTGATGCTAAGTAAATTGTATTATTTATTTTTAATTGTAAGCCTAGACAAGATAGTTTTACAGTTAAAGTCAACATTATTAGCCCTTCTGTGAAAAAATATATATATATTTTTTTATTATTTTTCAATTTTTCCAAAATGATGTTTAAGGAATTTTTCACAGTATTTCCATAATATTTATCTTCTGGAGACATTCTTATTTGTTTTATTTGGGCTAGAATAAAAGCAGTGATAAACATTTTTTTTTAGGGTTAATATTATTAGGCCCCTTTAGCAGTATTTATTTATTTATTTTTATTATTGTCTACTGAACAAACCATTGTTATACAATGGTACAGTACTAATTTTCTTAATTAATCTAGTTAAGCCTTGAATTGCACTTTATACAAAATAGTACGTACTGTCATCATGGCAGAGATAAAATTATTTATAAAATTATTTATTGACTATTGCATTTAGAAATGTGTTGAACAAAATCTTCTTTGTTTAATAGAAATTGGGGAAAAATATGCAGGGGGCTAATAATTCTGACTTCAACTGTATATTGTACTGTTTTCACCAATGTATGGCTAAAATTAACAGAAATTGAGTCTATTTTTTTATTGATTTTTTTTCAGATCTGCAGATGGGTCAGAGTTTGTGGAGGGTGGCGAGGAACCAGCAGCTGCAGCAGCAGTACAGTGAACAGTGTTTCCTCCAGCGGGACAGAGAGCATGTCCGGAGGATGGGGTCTCCACTGGTTGAAGGGCTGCCACAGCGCCGCACACCACAGTGCCAGGTGCCCGGCGCCGACATCAGTCACTTGCTTCGCGTTCGCAAGGGCAAAGCGGAGCAGGGCTTCATCGACCTTGAGATGCTGCCGCCAGAACTCAGCATCACCATCCTCTCCTACCTGAATGCCACTGACCTCTGCCTGGCCTCCTGCGTGTGGCAAGACCTGGGCAGTGATGAGTACCTGTGGCAGGGGTCAGTCAAGTGTTCAATTTTTATACCAAATTTTGTCTTAGGGGTTTCTCAGATGTTGAGTTTAACATTTAATAATGACAATAAATTTGTCTTGGACTTCAAATTAGCATATTTGAATGATTTATGAAACAGGCCAGTTGTGACTTAAAGGGAAACTGAAGTTACAACTTACACACTACTAAATTATTTTTTTTTTTTTGCACCACCGAACTTAGTTCAACCGTAATGCTACGTTCCAACTAAATATTTAAGGCAGCCTCTCCCATGTATAACGGTTGAAAAGAGATGACCGAGATTAGTTTACATTGAGGAGCTCACAATAATAGTGAAGAATGATCTCCTTTCAGCCATATTTTCTTCCCAAATCTCGCATTTTTTTGGTTTGTGAAAGAATAGTTTAATTTTCTTTCAAGTAGTGATCCATCAATGAAACGAGAATTTCTTCATGACTTGGTTCTTCTTCATGCTCTTTTCTTTCATGTGTAGGATATTTTAAAAAAATCAAGTTTAATGTTTTGATAACTTCATTTGTATTTCACGTGCATTCAGGACTCGCAATGCAGGTTTGTGCACCGTCTGTTATAGTGACTGACTGTAATGTAATGTACTATAAAACTGTAGTTTGTCATTCATTTTTCATAGGACAGTTATATATTGATGGTTAGTTGCATAATTTTAAAACAGTTTAATGATTTAAATTCTTTTTATTGGATATTATGTTGTTCAATGCGAATACGCATGACTTTACGGAGAGCTTACGACCTACTGCAGTTTGCCTTAAGAACATGTGGTGCAACTGAAGTAAGATCAAACTTTGCTAAAAACTAGCTAGTAGTTACTAAGCCTCTAGTGAGTGGACCTCAAATAAAAAACTAAAATAATATATCTGTATAATTTACATTTTTTTCCAAGTAATTATTCCAAACATTGTTTCAATTGCTTTGATGTGAAGTAAAAAGTATTATTTTTGCTTTTAGATTTCTCACTATTTTGAAAGAAAGAAATAAAGAAAGAAAGAAAGAAAGAAAGAAAGAAAAAAAGAAAAAAAAAGAAAGAAAGAAAGAAAGAAAGAAAGAAAAGATGTTATGAATAGTGTTTCAGCTGCCCTATGATAAATAAATACTATTACAAAAATACTATTTCCAATTACAACTTATTACAAATACCTGAATACATGTCTTCTTTTTAATTACAAAAGGTTTTAACTGTTTTGTAATAAATATTCAACAAAAAATATTTTCTCACTAACAAACAGTGTTTTATGGTCAGATTTTTAACTGTTCTGTAAATGGATTTTATTATGTTGTAAATAAATTCATAACATTGTGTTTAAGTATTCACATCAATGTCTAATTATTCAGTAATCAATACAGTTGAACTTAGAATTATTAGCTCCACTAAATTATTACCCCCCCCCCCCCCCCCCTGTATATTTTTTTTCCCCAATTTCTGGTTAGAAAGGAGGATTTTTTTCAAAACATAATATTTTACTATATACTTTAAGATACTAGTATTCAGCTTAAAGTGATAATTACAGGCTTAACTTAATAATTAGATTAACTAGGCAAGTTAGGTTAGTTAGGCTAACTTATTGTATAACAATGGTTTGTTCTGTAGACTATTGAAAAAAAAATATTGCATTAAGAGGCTAATAATATTAACCTTAAAATATTTTTGTTAAAATTTAAAACTGCTTTTATTCTAACTAAAATAAAACAAATAAGACTTCTAAAAATATATTATAGGAAATACTGTGAAAAATTCCTTGCTCTGTTAAACATCATTTGGGAAATATTGGAAAACGAAAACATTCACAGAAGGGCTAATCATTTTGACTTCAACTGTAAATATTCATTTAAAAAGCACTTAGATTCCATCAATAAAAATAAAGTGATATATGCTCTTATATTTCTAAATTCTAACTATTTAATACTAAATTTTACTAGTAACAATTGCTGTTGTCTTGTTTTTCTTTGTCTGCCCTCTAGCCTGTGCAAGTCCACTTGGGGTCACTGTTCCATATACAACCGACGGCTTCCATCTGGATTTTCCTACAGAAGGCTCTACTTGGAACTGGATGAAGGAAGTCTAACCTTTAACGCCAACCCGCAAGAGGTATAAAACACACACTTTTGTTCCGTCTCACCACAATAATGTCTCTGAGCCATTTAATGTTTAAATGGGCAAGAAACTGAGAAATTCTCATAGCCACAGTGTGTTTTAGAAACACAATTCTGACCAAGCTCAACTATGATTAATATGATGGTTTCCACCTCCACCCATAACCCAGCAATGATCATACTGCAGACTAAATATATTATTTTTACAAGCTCACCTAGAATGAATAATGGCGCATGACATAGGCTTTTAGACCACAACCCAGATTAAATTAAAATGGATGGGTTTTTTTCTCATGTGAGCGGCTCTTAAAACATCATTTCTATTCAGAGATGCATTTGAATGTCTAGACTCCCCCTCGCTCGTGTCTTAGGTTAGATTAGCAAAGCTTTAGCTGTCCACTTAAAGGACATGCGATAGCCTTGCTCCGGACTAAAGCATGGTGTCTGGCTAGGAAAGCGCACCCCTCCTTCTCTGTTTTTTGCCCTAATCCCCACACCCTGTTTTATGTGGCTTCTTTCATTCAGGGTATTAGTTACTTCATGTCCAGAGGTATTCTTGTGGAGCACCCGAAGGAAATCGCCAAGTTTATATTCTACACCAGAATGCTGAACTGGAAGATGCTGCGGATTTATCTCGATGAACGGTTTGTTTTTTGCAATTTTTAAATTTTTTTTTTGGCATGTACGTATTAACATCACTGACAACTGTTACCGAATTACATACTTTAAAACAATAAACCATGGACTTATTTGGAAAAAAACAAACACACTCACATGTATATATTTTATCACATAAATGTAATTAAGAACACAATATTAATAATAAAAAAATAATAATATAAATAATAATTATATATATATATATATATATATATATATATATATATATAAAATAAATTCTTTATTATTTTTATTAAATAGTAGTAGTAACAATAATAATGTAAATTATTATTATTATTAATCGCTTATGTTATGGTAATTTTTCTTTGGTTTTTATTTTTAGAATTAGATTTTGTTTTTATATTATTATTATTTTAATTTGATACATTTTAGTATTATGAAATGCTTTACAGTTGGCACAAAAGTAATTGTAACTTTTGTAAATTAAAGTAAATTAGTACTTTTTTAAATGTATATAATTTATTTAAATATAAGAACACACACATATACGTAAGCTGTGTCTCATTTCAGAGGCTGCATCCTCTGAAGGATGCATTGGAAGGGTGCTACATCATTGCGGCACGACAAAGGCTGTCTCATATCAAATTTAGTTTTTCAAATGCAGCCTCAAAATGCATCTTTCGTATCCCAGGTAATGAGGACACAACTGTTGGATCCTTTCCAGCCTTGAACATCCCAAGATTCATTGCGCGCTGATAACGGCCGGAAGTTTTTGAAAGAAATCTCCGGATTTATGATATGAAAATAGGTTTTATTTGACTTGTATATCTAAACACATGTTAAAAAACAAAAAGAGTATGACGTGTGTGTGTGTGTGTGTGTGTGTGTGTGTGTGCGTGCGTGCGTGCGTGCGTGCGTGCGTGCGTGTGTGTGTGTTTACTTTTAAATAAATTTATATATAATATAAATAAAAATATATATGTTTATTTTTACAATTAAATTTTAGTTTTTATTATTATTATTATTATTATTATTATTATTATTATATACTATAACTACATTATAAATGTATCATATGTTTTTTATAATTATATTATTTTGATTAATAAATTATTAAATGTTTGCCCAAATTTAATTTTATTTATTTTTTCATCATTCGGTTGTTTTAGTGAAATAAAAGTCAATTAAAAGAACTGTACCCATATTTAGAGGAATATAGATAATTACGGTCATTTTCTAAACATAAATAATTCTGGTAATAGTAACTAGAGTTTATTTAAATGTTTGTGTTTTTAGGCGAGATGTCCTGGATGAGCTTGTCACACTTCATAATTTTAGTAACCAGTTCCTCCCTAATGCACTGAGAGACTTCTTCAGACACATTCATGCCCCAGAGGAGAGGGGCGAATACCTGGAGACCCTCATCACCAAGTTTTCACATCGTTTCTGTGCCTGCAACCCCGCTTTGGTTCAAGAAGTGGGTTTAAGTCCTGGTAAGTGCAGTACAACACAATCATGAAAGCACTTAAAAGTGTCTAGTGTGTACACGCAACATCAACATTATTGTGGTTTGCTTTGCTGGTTGTCAAACTCAAAGTAAAGTTCACAGATTTATTTTTTTTTTTTTTTTGCCACAGACAGCAGTTAAATCTGAAACACTGGCTAATATTGCCATAGATACAGATGATTAGTATGCAGTGTATTGTTCTTTGTCAGTCGTGTTTTAATAGCTGCAGATCTGCGTGATTCTGCCTTTGTATAGAGCAACATGTGAGAAATCCTTGTACTAACAGTGTCGTTTACTTCTAAAGCCGAGCTAAGCCAACTGGCTTAAAGTGTTAGCAAAGGAAGACCCTGCTTCTCAGTCCAACCAATTGGAGGCCACTCCTGTAATAACATGTGACCTGTAGTGCGTGTGTGCTACTGTACAAGCAGAATGATTTATTCTAAATTACTGACAGAACTCACTCTTCAAGCCAAGACGTGCGCTTCTAAAATAGTTTTCATATTAAAGAGTGGAGGGTTTTTAAAAATCATGTGCACATTTTTATAATATTTCATTACATGTAATTGTGTCATTTTTAGGGGCAAAGTACTCTATCATTATTAATAATTATAGTAGTAGTCCAAATAGTATAAGTTACACTCGGAAAAATTAAGTAGAAACCATTTTCATTCATAGATAGACAGTAAATTCAGTGTTTAGATTTAGAATTGATTACAGTGATGTAGCAATTTTAAAGTACAGTATTTTCTTGTAGAAATGTACTCTCTCAATCTGTTTTAACTTCCAAAAGATAAATAGTGTATTCTGAATTTAGTATAATTAAGTATTAGATGTTTTGCTCCAAATGCTTCTGCCTGTTTCAAATAGAAAAGTCAATTGTAATAGTTACTAACAATTGCAAATTTACATTTTAGTTACCTTTATCTTTTTTACCCTTATACATTTAATATTTTAAAGTTTCCCATTTTAATTCCAAGTTTATATTGCATAACTTTGAGTTATAATTACATGATTTGTTTTAAGTTTTGCAATTCTCAAAATATCACAGTTCTGAGTTCTCATGCGATTCCAAGTTTGCATTCTAATTTTATATTGCACAAATTCTGAGTTTGTTTGCTTAATTAAAAAAATTGGAATTTAAATCAAGCAATTCTTTATTTCCATATCAAGCTTGTTTGATAAAAAGTTGCAATTACCTTGTTAAAGGAAACAAACTTCCATAATGTACATACCTTATATCACCATTCTATACATATGAAGGGTTATTTAGCAAAAACAAGCTGCGTAATAAAGGTATTTTTGATGTGAGGTAATATAACTCAAAAGCACTCAAAAAAAATAACTCGTTGGATGAACTCAACTTAATTGAGTGCAGGATTTCCTTCCAAAAAATTTATTTAGCACCAACTAAAAAACTATTTACCCAATTAAATGCATCTGAGTTGATCCAATATGATTTTATCAAATAAAAGTTTAAATACATTTGTATTTTTATTTAACTTAAACTCAAAGGTCTGATAATATCATGTGTGTCTATTAGGTGTCGTACATTTCAAAGTCTCTTAGTTTTATTTGAAGTTATCCTAAATTAACTAAAAGATCCATTTAAGCATATTTCATGAGTTACATATACAGCTGACTGAGACTAGAACTAATTTTAGGACAGTTATTGCTCTGTATTTTTGCTAATTAAGCTGCCAACAACCAAAGCATAAGTGCTTTTGTAAGGTGGTCATCTCAAAACTCGATGAAACTCTTCCAAATCTTCAAATTAAAGTGAAGATTAAACTCTAACAAGGCTTTCTATTAACTTTAAACACTTACAATTACTTTTATTGTCAAATTTTCATTAATTTAATCCAGCGCAAAGTATGCTGCAAACTACAAATCCCCTAACCAGGTAGTTCTCCAACACAAAATGTTTAAGTTAACTTAATGGTTTACAAATGTAAGTAGACTAAACATAAAACAAATCAATTGGTCAAAAAAATGACAAGAATTGTGTTGTTTCAGCTCATTTTATACAGGTAGTTTGAACAAGCAGCAGTAATCCTTTTTTGAGTGATACAGTGAATATATATATATATATATATATATATATATATATATATATATATATATATATATATATATATATATATATATTATGAATATTTAATTTATTCTTTTTATATAAATAGCTTCATAGTTAATCTATTACATGCTGAAATCTTGATTGAAAATATTGACGGTAATTTTATTAAGTTGTATCATTGAGTCATAACATTGTCCAATAAGGCTTGAATTAATTTAACTAAACCAAATATGAACACTACAAAAACTTTTTATCAATCTTAGATGATATTCGTTTCTTACTCAGTGCTAAAAACGGAATAAAATTGTAGTTGCAATCTCAGTACAAACTGTTATCACTTTACAAAATGGAGTGATAATTAATAAAATTGTGTTTTATTAATCTTAGATAATATTAATTTCTTAGTTAATGCTGAAAATGCATTAAAATCATAGCTGTAATCTCAGTACAAACTTATCATCTTATTACATTGAGTTAAGGGCTAATAAAATTGTGTTCAAACTGATATTAACATAGCAACTAATAAATTTGGATTTATTTTCCTCACTGTTGATTTTAATCCATTAACTAACCTTTACTAATGAGACTGTATTGTGAAGTATATTAACTAATTTAATTTAACTTTATTTTTTTAACTAATTTATTTATAAACATGTATACATACAAATAACAATACACAAAGCATTTTTGTTATTATACCTGTTAAAGTATACCTGTTAAAGTTTAGCTACAGCTTAGGTAAATATATCGCTATAATACCATATACCTCGAGAAAAGCTTCAGCAATTAATCACAACGCAACAATCTGATATATTTTGAGATAGAATGTGATATAAACCTATTGTGAGGTATCAAACGGTCATTCTCTGTTGCGGTTTTTCAGATTTCACAATACTTTTGCAATTTAATTTGGCTATACATACATATATACGTACAATCGTATCTATATTTAAAGTATTTTTTGTTATTTTACCTGGTAAAGTAACTTTAGCTATACAGCTTAAATATATTGAGATAATACAGTATAGTGTAATAAAATCTTCAGCAATTACTCGCAACAAGAAAGTCTAAAATATATTGTGATAAAATGTGATAGAAACCTAATTTTTAAAACGTAACCTCTTTGTTGCAGGTTTACAGACTTCTGAAGTATTTTTGTTATACCTGTAAAAGTAACTTTAGCTACAGCTTTGGTAATATCACAATAACACCACATATCCCGATTAAAAACTTTAGCAATTAATCACAACAAGAAGATCTGATATATTTTGTGATAAAATGCGATTGAAGCCTATAAATGTGAGGTAAAATAAACTGTTTCTCTGTTGCAATTTTACAGACTTCACAATACTTTTGCAGTTTAACTTGGTTATACATGCAAATCTACATACAATTAAACAATATTCAATGTGTTTTTGTTATTTTACCTGTTAAAGTAACTTTAGCTATATACAGCATGGATAAATATATTGTGATAATACCTTAAACTGCGATTAAAATCTTTGGCAATAAATCGCAACAAGAAAATCTGATTTCTGACATTCTGACTTCTAAAGTATTTTTGTTGTACCTGTTAAAGTAACTTTTTCTGCAGCTTGGGTATACAGTATATTGCAATAATACTCTGTACTGCAATAAAATCTTCAGCAATTAATCGCAACAAAAAAATCTGTTACATTTTGTGATAGAATGTAATAGAAACCTAATCTGAGGTCACAAACTGTGTTTCTCTGTTGTGGTTTGACTTCTGAAGTGTTTTTTTTTATTTTATTTTTTATACCTGTTAAAGTAACTTTAGCTACAAATTTGTTAATATATTGTGAGATAACCTTATATAGTGATTAAAAACTTCAACAATTAATCCCCCCCAAAAAAAACGGATACATTTTGTGATAGAAACCTAATGTGAGGTGACAACCACTGTTTCTCTGTTGTGGTTTTACAGACTTCTAAAGTATTTTTTTTTTATACCTGTTAAAGTAACTTTTACTGCAGCTTAAGTATATATCGTGATATTACCATATACTGCAATAAAATCTTCAGCAATTAATCGCAACAAGAAAATTAATACATTTTGAGATGGATTGTGATAAAAAACCTAATGTGAGGTGACGAACTGTGTTTCTCTGTTGCAGTTTTACAAACTTTTAAAGTTTTTTGTTATATCTGTTAAAGTAACTTTAGCTACAGCTTTGGTAAATATATTGTGATAATTTCATATATCGTGATAAAATCTTCAATAATTAATCACAACAAGAAATTGTGATACATTTTGTGATAGAAACCTAATGTGAGGTGACAACCTGTTCTTCTCTGTTGCGGTTTTACAGACTTCTAAAGTATTTTTTGTTATACCTGGTAAAGTAACTTTTACTGCAGCTTAAGTATATATTGCAAAAAAAACGTACACTACGATAAAATCTTCAGCAATTAATTGCAACATGAAAATCTAATACATTTTGTGATTGAAACCTAATGTGAGGTGACAAACCGTATATCTGTTTTGCAGTTTTATATTTTTTGTTATTATACCTTTTAAAGTAACTTTAGCAACAGCTTCTGTAAATATATCACGATAATAACATATGTTGCGATTAAAAACGTAAGCAGTTAATCGCAACGTGAAAATCTTATACATTTTGTGATAGAAACCTAGGGTGAGTTGAAAAACTGTGTTTCTGTGTTGCAGTTTTACAGACTTCTGAAATATTTTTGTTTAACCTGTTAAAGTAACTTTAGCTACAGCTTTGTGAAAATACCTTAGATTGCGATTTAAACTGTAGAAAATCAGATACATTTTGTGATAAAATGTGATAGAAGCCTATAATTGTGAGGTAAATGAACTGTGTTTCTCTGTTGGGGTTTTGCAGACGCAGTGTACGTGCTGTGCTACTCTCTCATCCTGCTCTCCATTGACCTGACCAGTCCTCACGTAAAAAACAAGATGTCTAAGAGAGAGTTCATTCGAAACACGCGACGGGCCGCTCAGAACATCAGCGAGGACTTTGTAGGCCACCTCTATGACAACATCTATCTGATCGGCCATGTGGCGGCCTAAGCACTACAGCGCTCGACACGTTAGCGAGACATAAAAAAAACAACATTAGCAACTTGCACTAGGAAGGATTCTGCTTTAAGAAGGACCACTGTCAGGTCATTTTAAAACTGAAGTCTCAAGAATTTAGCTCTCAGTATGATGTGCTGCATTTCTACTAAGCAGAGGGCAGGCCACGATGTGAAGAATCCGCAAAGCAAGTTAGTTGTTAGCAGGCTAGCAATGGTAGCATATACCGCTAAAACATGCAAAAACCTTGTAGCTACGTGAAGATATACGAGATAAGCTATGAAGTCAGTTATAAAGCTGAATGTAGGCTTTATGGGGTTTGAGTCAAATTTACGACTATTTCCTTCCTCGCTGTTCTTTTTTTTGGGGGGGAAGGGGAGGGAGTTCATGCTTATCAAATGAATGTCAGCTTCTTATGCTATTCAGGCAAGGTTAATGACATTCAGTCCACGGTCACTGTGATATAACAGACTAAAACAGCAGAACTCTGATATCGGTGTCGAACAAAAGCATTTTTAATTCTGTCTGTAATTTCTTGTTTTAGGAGACTTTGTGTTTGTGCATCGTCACTTATGTCTCGTCTTCTTTTAGAAGAGTAAAACCCACCAGACATTGTATGCACTGAATTTTTTATTATCTATCTTTCTTTGTTTTGGTCTCTTTTTTTTCTCTTTTTTTTTTTTTTTTTTTTGGAGTTTCAGAGAATCTATTAGGTATGGATTTGAATAAAATTGTTTTATTCTATTAAGGTCTGATTTCTAGCAAATTTAAAATAAAAGAATTGTCATTTATTTTTATTTTTTGAAAACAACAGAATAACAAATGATTTAATGTGTTGTGACTGAAAATCATGGTTATTCCACAAAATATTGCTTTCTTTACTTTTCTGAATTATTGAAAAAGTTATTTTATTTATTTACTGCATCACAAAATGACAATATTTTAAATTTGGAAGAAATGCCACCAGTAGCTTATAGAATAAGTCTCATTTCAAATAAAACAATATTGTCATTTAGGATATTTGTTTCTCAAAGAAAAAAGACAGAATAACAAATGTTTTCATTTGTTGTGATAAAAAGTCAGGCTTATTCCACAGAATGCTGCTTTATTTACTCTTCAGATTTGTTTAATTATTATTTTTTTTATTTAATTCAACAAAAAATGACAATGTTTATTTTAAATTTGGAAGAAATATCATCAGTTGCTTATAGAATAAACCAAATTTACATTTTACTGAGACGTGACTGAGATTTTAGGTGATCTCTTCATTTTTCCCTTAGCTTTATATAAAGTATAAAGACACTTGATATACAATGATTTTTTTTCTAATAATACATTTGACAGCTACTGTTTAAGTTAATTATTTTCTTTCAGTTCATTGATGTGGGTATTTTTCATGCATTTCAGGCTTTTCTTTTATTTAGACTTTCAATTGGGTGCCAATAATGAGGAACAATTACTAAACATACACAACTATAAGGAAAACATTATTATTCGCACGGGCTGCATATAGTTTAATGTAATATTGACCATTTTATTTGCACATAATGTACATATTTAAGTATAGAGATTTATAAACATGAAATTTTATTTTGGAGTATTTTAAGACTATAAGACTTAAAAGAGTGAATTCTCTTTTGCACTTTTTTTTGCATATTTACAATGTTATGAGCGCTCAGCAAACTGCTACATCCTTTTATTTGTGAAGTGTCATACCAACGAAGCCTAAATAATTCTGATGTTATCCAGTGCTGAATTAACTGTAAATCTAATATCAGATTACAGCTCATCTTTCCCTGGTTCTTTTTGTCTTCTTTTCTTTTAATGCTCTGCATTCATTAGGTAATTATCCAGCAAATAAAATTCTCTTTGAACAAATGTTCTTAACTGTAATTAAACAGTAAAAAAAGATTTGTTTAATATAGGTTTCAGAATGATAACACTGGACTAACGCACTTATAGATTGTATATCATTAAAATAAAAGTTTGAAAATCCCTGTATGTCTTGTTTGTCTATTGTTTAATTGTTTTATCAGAAACATTTAAATGGGGAAATACAATTTTATGCAAATTTTATAATTTGCTAGATTATGTCTTGTACAATTATTTTTTACAAGTGTTTTTTCACAGAATTTCAGTCAATTACGCTACTTCTTTCTTTTATCAATAAATCAATTAATTTAAGTTTAAGAAAAAAAAATTAGGCATCATTTATTGTTATTATTTTTATTCAAAATTATATGCTGCTGCAAAATTAACAGTTTATTTAATGCAGGTCTTTTATATTTATTCATTCATTCGAGACAAATTACTCTAATGGAATTTATTTTATAAGAGTATTAATATGGCTTCTAAAATTGGCTAGTGAGCTTGATAAAATGTAATCTTTGTTAAAATTAAGATATTACGCTATGATTTTTTTTAAATAAAAATAATAAACCCTGTAGCGTTTAATAAATTATTTTAAACTAAAAGCATTATTTTCACACACTAAAAAAACATTTATTCAGACTGGCTCGAGTTTCCATTTGTATTTGAATACAGAACAGATATCCAAAACTACATATTATGCGTACATGAATTACATTTAAGACAAAACACTGAAAAATATTCCCTTGTGAAATAAGTGCGTCAAATTGACCCGGTTTTCCCGTTTCATATAAAACAAACAATCGATTCATTGTATTACTTTTCCCGATGTGTCAAGTTAAATGGTGAAACAAAAGAACAGTTCTAATCAATTAAAATACAATTTCCAGGTATAACCTAGCTAGCAGGCTCGTACCTTTTCTGTTTTGTCCGTGTATTTATCAACGGCGTGTCGTTAAAATGTTGTTTATTTGAGATGACGTTATGTTTCTCAGGTCTAATGGCAGAATTTTGGCTATAATTTGGCATGATTGATGAAGTCCTTGCCTTCGCTATGACTGCATTTCATCAATATAACCGGCTCAGCAACAGCGCGAGCCTTTCTGACGCCTGAAATTGCGTCTGGTCAACCTGACACCGCGGAGAAAACGCAAAGACCTTGAGTTTTTGACACGTTTGTGATGACAGAGATGGTGACAATAGCTTTCCAAATAATACGATTAAATAAATTACACGTAGCCCGATTTGATTGTAGGATTATGGCGACACAATAATTGTGTCTTTAATTATGCATCACTACACGAATCGATATTGGCCTATTTTTTGGGATATATGTCTTTAAATAGGCCTATCTATTTTATCATTTAACTTTTTTTACATTTATTTTAAGTTTTGATGAGGTGTATGCTGTTTGAACAAATTAAATAAAAAAAACAACACAATACAACAAATCGATACTACAAAAACAAAATAAAAAAATGATTATTACAACTTTTTAAAATGCGCTTAAAACTCAATGGGAAATTATAAAAGACATTAGGTTAGCCTATAATACTAATTTGGAAGCAGAAGCTGATCTGCACGACATCACGTATATCCTGCATGTTTTCTTGTTATTATTTTGGAAAAGCTTCTCATCATGGGACGTGATGCGGAGTATTTAATAGTGTTTTTCTCACTCAGTTCGTCCACATTATGCCAAACATAATGATGCTCCAAAAAAAACAAAAAAGAACCACAACTGCCAACCCAAAAGGTCTCCGGTTTTATATCAAATGTCTTCTGTAATTGGATTTTTGGTTTTAGTTTAATATAAACGTTTATTGTCGGGGGCATGGAAAATACCAGTTAGACACACAACCGCTGTCTTTGAAGTGGATCAATATGAACATTTTTGTGTGGTGAAAGGCAGGGTCATTAATGCAGATCCAATGAAGGTCACAATTAAAGCAATATGTCGTTTTATTCAGTTTTAAGCTCCGTTTTACTCTGGATATTGTCTAAATTTGTTTCGCGTAAATTAATTTGATTTCAAACTCTGGTTTCAATAGTCTTGCTCTTGATAGTCTTGCTATTTTCCCGTGTTGTATATTCTTTATGATCTCGTTCTAATTTGCACGTAGCCCACACCTTTATGAGTTAAAAAAATGTAAACAATACAAATATGGATGTGGAGTTGTAGCTGTTCTGTGTAGTGACGGCAGGTTGTTTAGGCTGGTTCTCTGAGGTGTCCTCCTCTATAATTCAGGTATAACCCAGACCCTGCGTTGAGGACGGCAGTGCCCCTGTTTCTATAATTGCTTCCTGCAAACCACCCCCCACCGTCACCTCAAACGCAATTCAGCTTTCTGTACTAAATAATCAAGAATTTCGGAGTGAGTGATTATATAGCTTGATTGACTTCCTTAGTCATATGTCAACGTTAAGACAATACAACGAATGACTTTTTTTTTTTTTTTTGCTGAGAAAAAGTGTACCAGACTATGCTGGTTTGCTGGTATCTTAACGGGGTCAGACATATCTACCTTCCTAAACCGATTTCAAAAGTATATTTTATACATTCAAGAATAGCCTTTTTCTTTCTTATACAATGTTGTCAAAAAATCTATGAGGTCATTATATGATATGGCAGAATATGCAAATAAAATAAATAAATAAATAAATCACTCCCAGAAATAAAGGTACAAGAGCTGTCACTGTGGTGGTACCTTTTAAAAGGTACATTTGTATTTAAGGGTCCATATTGGTACTTCAAATGTATTTGTTAGTACCATTTCAAGAGATGCACTTTTTTACATTTTAGTTACTAAAATGTAAAAAAATTTACATTTTAGGTTTTAGGTACTAAAATGTACCCATGAGGTCTATGAACCCCTTAGTTACAAATGCGTACCTTTTGAACAAGTAACCCCCCAGTGACAGCTCTTACCTTTGTTTCTGAGAGTGATCATTTTAGTTAATCGCAGTGAAAGCTCTGTTTATTTTTGAGAGTGTCATCGTTATGCTAGATTATTAGATTTTTTTTTTGATGAACTGCTCGGGTCTTACAGACAAATACGCTGTAAAAAATGGGTTCCACACGATCGGGACAACATAAAGGAAAGTTAACGTAGGCTGCACAAAACAATTGAACACAAGTGAATTAATCATAAAAAAAACACGAGAATGGTGTTATTTCAACTCATTTTAACTAAGCAGTTCGAACAAACAGCACATTTCACATTAACTGTTTTGCAAGAAAATAAAAATAAATAAATAGTTCAATAAAACTGCTGTTATAATCACTGAAGCTGCTAAATATATCTCTCGCGGATTATCTGCAGTTTATAGTTAAGGAGCCTTTTAAACGTGGGCTAAATTTAGCTGTGACTAATCTACACGACTTAGATTGGCTGCTGCAATCATTAGCCCATCAGAAACGTGTTATAGTGTGTGTGTGTGTGTGTGTGTGTGTGTGTGTGTGTGTGTGTGTGTGTGTGTGTGTGTGTGTGTGTATATATATATATATATATATATATATATATATATATATATATATATATATATATATATATATATATATATATATATATATATACGTGCCTGTGTTCCAGCCGGGTAATCCTTCTAAAATTAATACAAAACAGGATTTAATGTATAGGCCACGTTTTAGCTTATTAAAATGCCTAACCTCCTCTTTTTAGATATGCTCATTTGGATGCAGGAATTCGACCCCGTATATTAAATCAACTGCTGATGGACGCGCCTGTAACTGCAGCATTTCCTTTTGCACGGTGCCACATTAAATTGACCTTATATTAAACAGATCTCTCCCTCACAGCCTCATTTCCATTTGCGAAAAAATGATCAATAAGCCTATGTAGGTAAAAATAAATAATGTAACATTTGCACATATAAATGTAAAAAAAAATTGAAGATTCACTGTTCCAAACCAAATCGGCTAAAACGGGGAAAAAGTGAAAATAATGGAAAATATATATATATTTTTTTATTAAACGAAGACAATAGGCCTACATAAATAAATACAGTCTAAAGACAATATGGACTAGGCTATATCTCTAAACATATGTCCCTTTGATCAAACCTTTTCTTATTTATGAGAGCACATCCTAAGATCTTATCCAAGATAACAGTAATGAGCTGAGCATGTTGCCTGTCTCAAGCCGGTGATGCGCAGATAGAGTCTTCTGTCATTCACACCATAAACGGCCTTCACGAACTCTGTCCATCGCACAGTTCTCCACAGGTGTGCTACAGCTGTTAGCTTGTGCCACAATCATCCCAAAAAGCATCAAACGCTGCCGAGAGCAGTTCCTCTACCTGTCCGAGGTGAGTTTTTCATGCAGTCACGGAGGAACAGCGCTCTTCACTTGGCAAGTAGAGTTATTGAAACCGTCTAAAATATTACCGTGGCCGTGATCGCAGAAGTTTGTTTTATGGTTTGTTTTTGCACGAGGCCGTATCTCTTTGACAGGGGCTGTCCACTGTCACATCATGCCATATAGGACGCTTGACATTTGCCGGTGTCTGACACTTGAGGGATTAAGAAAAGAGTTATTCCAGGACCGCAGAACCGATGGAAGACATTCATATATAGGGCATGTCATCTTATAACTGCACTGGCTTTCATGCTTAACTGCTTCTCGTTGTCTTGTGGATGTGAATGAACAGAATGGCTCTATTATCTGCACAATGAATAACCCAAATATACAGTCTTTAATAAGGTGAGTGATAAAAAAATAATTAAATATTTAATTAGGATAATGTTGTCTTATTTCTTATTGTTTTAGGGCACCCGTATTACCAGAAGATGACAATCAGCAAAGGCTTGAGAGGTGTTAACACCATGTCACCAAAGTCCTTAGATCTTGGTATATTTCCTCGTTTTATCTCTATCACTAAAAGCGAATGATTATACGTAATTACATACAAATTAACAAATAAATGATCACATAATCTTTATAATAGCCTATATATTGAAACTTGAAAAGTTGCAGTTGGATTTAATGCGTTTTCTATGTGTTTTAATCATTTGTATTAAGATACAGAGGGCTTTTATTTCAAACATCTATTTTTTTCTTTTTTAGCATGAAAAATATCATTCAAAATATAAAATACAAAAAAAATTTAAA